GCTGTTGGAAGTTTCTTAAGAAAAACTACCAATTTGTTAAGTGTCAGAACTGTACCAGTCCCAGTATCCTGTAAGCTTGCCATGGCTTCCTGGACAGCTTTACTGCTTGGCCTTCTTGTCGAGGAGTAGCTTCGTACCACTCTTCGTGCACATACAAACGGTCCAGGTAGACGCAGAATTCTGTTTTGTATATCCTCACTAAGAACTCCCACCTTGAGTCCCATTGATGACCTTTGCAGACGGCACGACTGTAAAATAAACGTATTCAACTTAAATTAAAATAAGCCTTGTTAAGTCATCAGCAGTGTGTGAATATTGAGTGCATATTACATGTAAGGGACATCTTTTTGGTTTAAATCCTGTTCAATTTATTTTCTGTTGTCTGAACAAACAAACAGAATAAAAAAATTGAACCTGTTCAGAAGTTTTAAAGCAAACATAGATTTGAACCCCAAAATATACATTGTACTTGGGTTTCTCTTTACCAAATCAGAAATTTCCACAATATAACAATAATAATAATATACCTTTTTTCAATTGGGCATTTGTGGAAGTTTCTGGGTACCTCCCTGGTTAATCAGGCTTGTTTGGAATTTTCACATTCTAAGCATGAGTGATGGTGTTACACATAAAGCACTGCCTCATCCCCAGTCACCCTCCCCCTCAATAGTAAACATTTAATTAGTAACCCACAGGAAACACCACAAGCAATCTGGCTTATCTCCCTTGCTACCTTCAAGCGGCCGCTTTAGCTATATGAAGCTCAATCTTGGTCTCCCAATCATTATTTAGCCACTTTTGCTATGAAAATAGAACACCCTGTGGAGGATGAAGCATTAAACACCCACCCTTATCCAGGATACAGTCATTTCCCTGTCGCCATAATACATGCCTTCAAATTAACCAACATAACAACCTCCCAAGTTAAGAGCTTGTAGACCAAAACAGGTTTAAAAACATTCTGTTGAATACAGTGGCATGCCTTTCCGACAATGGAATGAAAAAAAAAACAACCAGAAACCATTATTAATATTCTTGTTTACAAAATCTCACCAGTTCTGAGATTCCCTTCATGGTCTCAAGAGTCTCAGTGAATGTTATTGCCATTTGCATGGTCTCTGCAGTTATTGCTGTTGGTGTGGTACCTGACTCTAAATCAAGAGCTTTGGTTAGGCGGTGGTACAGTACATGCATGTTTAATGCAACACGCAAAGTGTTTTTGTATTTCTTTGAACCTGTGGAAAAAATTCCACAAATGCCGGCACCTTGGCTATCGTCTTCACTTGGTTTGCTGTACTTGAAGAAAAGTTCCTTGGCAGTGGCAGTCAGGGTATACTTTAGAGCTGGTGTCGTGTTGTGTTCCACATAAATCTTTTCGAAGACATCCCCAAGTGATTTCACAGCAAACTCATCAAGGGAATCTGAATTTTCTGCCATGGCTTCCAGGTCAAGATCTTCTGATCTTCTTTGATAAAAGAACAGCATTCTCTCTGCCAAGCCATTTTTGGAGGCTACAAGTTTTGGCCATACTGACTCAAGGAATTGCTGGGGGGTGGTAAAAGCGAGGAGGGCTAATTTGGCAGATGTAACTCCAACTCGCTTGCCTTTTGTCCCTTTAAGTACATACCAGAAATCCCCATCGTAGCATTTGCAGAGACGTTCCATTGAGAGACTCATCTGAGATGTTGACTTTCCTTGATGTGTCAGTCTCTGCAGGAGTGAGTATGCCTCGTCGACACACAGGATTGGCACAGTTGAGGCTACAAAAATGAATTACAATGTTTTAATTTTTATTATCAATTTGGTTATACTTGACAAATTGTTTACTCAGATCTTGCTTGGTAGCTGAATGTTAGTTAATTTGAATAAAAATTAACCTAACTACTAAAATTCCCTAATCTACCCACCTACCCTAAAATGGAAGTAAGTTAGGTCACATGTTTAGTAATGCTTGTAAAGAACAGACTAACAATTAGGTACACAAATTCTGTTGCATTACTAACAAACAACTTAACATTTTTAAAAATTATAGTGAATATGATAAGTGAAATATTCATATTTTTTCCATTGGTATTGTCTTTTATTTGTTAAGGCTTCCATTTCATTTGTCACGCTATCTTGTTGTTGACCCTATGTCACACAATTTTCACTGGGAAATTCCATTGCCTTTAATGTTTATAATACTAGGGTGCTTACTACACGCAAAAAAAAAAATAGTTAACAGTGTCTAAAACACAAACCTCCCAGAAAATGGTTGAACAGGCCACTTGATGATGTCTCATCTATGACAATGCTGGCTTGGATCTTTTCTTCAACGTGACCCACGATAGGCTCAACGCATCCCTTCTAGCAAGCTGGTGTTTTTCCCGTTCTAGAAGGAGCAGTAGCGATAAGATGAAGATTTGCCTTCTCCTCGTAGGAGCCAAAAAGCTTAACCGTTGTATGACCAAGTAAAGAACTCGTAGACACCAAGGAAGAACAAAGCAGCATCTCGCTCGTCGTGCCATTGCTGCATGCAAACGCCGAAAGCCATTGACGAACACGTTGGGGTACAATTTCGTCGATAGAAAGTCGAATTTGGCCCAGCTGAGATTCCAGTTCTGTGGTAGAAGTGACATTACTTTGTGTGTCCATAATGCTCCGACGAAAATCGAAAACTAGTGGGTTAGGACCGTTTAAAGTGGCTATGTACGTTTTAAAGCGTTTATATAGCTGGACGATGGCGGGAATAATGCAGACAGGCGCGTTGGTCAGCGGATGTATTCTGGCGGGAAAAGTTCGGCCCTTAATGTCCCAACTGGCCCAAGTGACCCAAACTAAATGACCGGGAATAATGGCCTAAATGCTCCAAATGGCCCTAGTGACTCAACTGGCCTAAGTGGCCCAAGTGACCCAGCTGGCCTAAATACCAAATGGCCCAAGTGACCCAACTGGACTAAGTCGCCCAGGTGACCCAACTAGCCTAAATGGCACAAGTGACCCAACTGACCTAAATGGCCCAAGTGACCCAGCTGGCCTAGGTGGCCCACCTAGCCTAAATGGCAAAAGTGACCCAACTGGCCAAATAAACCAAACTGGCCATTCAAACATTTCTATGACTCAAGCCACCCTATCTTTCGGTCGACTAGTGTCACGAATTTTTTGTTAATTAGTTTTCACGCTATGTTTTGGTTGGTAAGGCAATTTTCGTTAACCGGTACTTGGTCACGCAATTTTCGTTAACCGGTACACGAGGACACGACCTATTTTCCCTTCTAAATCGCAAAGTACAGTTATTAGATCCGTAAAAACCATAACTTCCACAAAGGCACAAATAAGCCCAAATAAAGATATAACACAAATGAGAAGAATCCTGCCTGGCCGTTGTTAGATCAGAATTGTTTCTTGAATTGGCATCGTGCCTTTAGATCAGTCGAAGTACAGTGGGACAGCAGAGTGTTGGTCAACACCTATTCCCGGGCAACGTTTTGGCTATAGCAAAAGGTAATAACAGGGAATCAGCGTTCGGTTCTATAAAGAACACAATCGGACAGTAAAGAAACTGATGGAACAATACTTTCTTACGCCG